CAGGCAACATTGACTTGCCTGCACATGCACTTTGAATACATTTCTAAATACAAATGAAAGATATGTATTATTAAAGTACCCTACAAGGCTTGTCATAGCTGTTTTTTAGTTCAGCGTTCTTAAGTGGAGATAATACTAGAAAGAATGAAACAATTGTTAAATTGCAATATAACATGCAGATTGGGAAACAAATAGTATTGTGTAAGATGGTTCAGTCTGCAAATAAATTATCTGTTTAAAACAAACACACATCAAAGTTTTGAAGAGAACTTGTTCTGGGGCTTTTGAGTATTTAACGTGCAATGCAAGTTTCCCATAGCTTAAACTCTAAAAGCATTCCCGAAACATCATCGTTCAGGTGTGAAGCCTCAACTACATTAGCCATTTTAATATTTCATCGGTTTATTTAAATTAAATAGGAAGCATAAGATATTTTACTGGTTAGAGTGGGCTGGCAATTCAAATAACTTTTAATGATGTAATGCAAACTTGTAAATCATTTTCAGTGAGGGCCTCATAGTTCAGCACAACTTTTATGTAATATACTGAGTTGCTGGCATAGCTTTAAAATTCGTAATACTTGGAGATCATGAAAATTAGAACAGAATCCATATGTATACAGGAGAAGTAGCTGAAAATATGGATTCAAGCTTAAAGTTTTTATAGATATGTTGTAGTCTTTAAAGCAAAAAATTGTCTGATAAGTGTTAAACCATGGCACATGTAAACGTTAAAAAGAGTGAAATGGAAGTACACCACAGAAATGCAATGTTGAATTTATGTGGTGCGCGTTGTGGTAGTGTAATTTCTCACAAAAAATAATGTTTTTTTGGAGAAGTGTAGTGTAGATACTGGTATACCATAGGTTTATGAATGGTAAATGTGATTATCGTCATAGTCAGGGATTCAGTATTTTTGACAAGTCAGTCAACAAATTACTCATTTTCTGTGCAAGGATTTTCAGTTAAGGCATTCAAGCATCTCTGAAATGATGCATAATCCCCAGGCTTTATTATTGCTTATATCTGTAGGTTTCCATTGCAGCACAGGTATCAAGAGAAACGAATTATATTGCTTCTATGGGAGTTAAACAGGCAAAATACAGGGGAAAAGGAAAAGACTGAAAATAAACATACATCTGTTGTGAATCTGGATTGACTCTAAGGTTAAATAATGATGCCTGCCTTCACCAAATTGCCATGGAAAAATACGAACTGATCATAATTACAGTACAATAAAACCTCGTCCTCTTGCTTTGGTAGGCTCTTGAGTACAATAAAATCTTTGGCTAAAATTAACTGAATTCATATTTGTAAGCTTTCTCTTTGACAGTAAGGAGAATATTCTTAAATGGCATAAATTGCCATTTTTTTGCTGACTTCAACGAAGGTATGACAATTTATACCACTCAAACGGTGGTCCCCAAGTATGACTGTCTGATTTCGCTGTAATATGCATATTGCAAATATGCAAACCGCACACTAGAAAGAACTGTTCAAGAATCCTACTTACATTCTGATAAATATTCAGGAAGATGGTGCTTTCAGCCTCCAATGTAAAAAACTGAGCAAGACTACAAGAGTCCTGAAGAGGAGGAATTGTACACTGGTTCGTTCAGGTCAATTTTATATGATCTCTTTCCCCGTAAATTGTAAGTTTATAAAAAAAACCACCACCAAAACCGAAAAACACAAAGCGAATGCAAATATTAGCCCATACATGAAAATATAAATGATGTTCCAAACTGTGTTGGCTCCAGATGTTTTTACGAGTTAAACGGTTTACTGTTTTCATATATTTAAAACATTCTATTTTTTCACTTGATGTTATAAGCTTTGGGCAAACTTGCTGGCATTGATTTAAGTTATGCTTTTGTACCACATGTAGGTCAAACGCACATTCGGAAAAGATACAATACGAACAAGAATCCAATCATTAATATTGAGAGATAATAACTGCTTACACTTTCTTCCGTAATTATTTCACTGAGAAGCTTTGCACTGAAGCTTCCTTTAACTGAAAAGTTATAAATTTTTACAAAGGATGGTATCACATAGCCATAGTTATTTGATAACTCTGCACAGAAACTTTTTGAACCATTTCAGTAAGCGTTTGAAGTTGTTTATTTGCCTTAACATTAGTTGCCTATATTTGCATTCTCCTTATATAGTGTAAAATGAAAGCATAAAGCTCTATAGAGATTTCTGTTTCCAGTTCTCGCGTGCTTAAAACCTCTGATTAAAGAAGTAATGAGAACCCTTGATGTAGGACTTGTGTACTTATTAGGGGACTCAAGAGCCCAAGGAAGCACAGTCCCGAATATTCAGATTTGATTATGAAGCTAATGGCGAACACTTCGCCGTGCCATTATAACTTTGCGATTGCGTTCTTCTTTTTTTTCTTCTTCACCTTTTGGAGCCTCTCCTACCTCTCCCTAAAAAGTGCTATTTGGCTCCGTCTCTTATTTCTCTTGGAAACCTAATCTTTCTCCCTCCCCCTCGCACCCTCTCACTTTCTTCATTGTGCTTCGCTTACTTCACTTTTTTTACCCTGCGCGAGAAATCCTGTCCGGCCACCCCCTAGAATTAAAAAAAGGCATTTTTACACTGGCTTGGGTTTGGGGCTTCCCCGGCCCCTCCGCAGCTGTGGCGG